CCAGCAGATGGGCCAGGTTCTGTGTCTCTCCACATTCACACAGCATGTTGTTATATCCTTCAGCCATATCCTCCTTTAATGTTATTCCTTGCTCAATGGTCTCCTTCCTCCATCTTTTAATTAGGTTTTGTTCTTGTGTACCCTCAAGAATGTTTGTTCTTGCCATAAAGCTGTTCCTAGATCTGAGTCAGTGGGGCTTGGGGCATATGTCCATTCAAAGGATGTTAATCATTCTCTTGCTTAGTTCTCTCGGCATCTGATGCTACTTCTCTCCTGATCTTAGGTGGAGCAATACCAACGAGAGGATATATTTTCTCAACTGGTATAAATTTGAGACAACCCGTCATTAGATATACTGCTTCATTGATGGCAATATCAACTTCTTTCGCATGTGCAGATGTGCCTCATCCTGAAGCACATACTCTGTTGCAGAGATGTTCAAAGCCAAAGCTGATGTGCGCAATGTAGATGGTTGAGCTCCCCATGTGTAGTTCATCAATTTCCTGATGACAGTGTTCCTTGAGCTGACTTTAGCCTTTAGTGTTCAGGCAATGCTGTTTAAAAGAGAGCTGGACGAGGTAGATAAAGAAGCAGAATAACCAATCTAAAGCTTAAACCTATAATCTTTTCTGTCTCTTTTTTTTCCCTGCAAATTATCACTAGATAAATACTTGATAGCTTTCATATATTGAATTTCAAAATTTGAGCTTTGACACTTGGTATTTATACTTGATAGCAGCATGCAATTGACAATAAATGTACACTGAAAATGATATGTATCATTAGCAGCAATTTACACATATTGCAAATACAACTGGGCAAACTTATTTATAACTCACAGATTGTATTGCCTCCCTCCCTTGCTCAGCAAAACTAAAATATCTGATGAATAGATAATATTCCAAGATGTACTGTGATCAACAATTAAATCAAGGAGTTTTCCCAGCCAAATGTTGCCATATTACAAATGGGGCATTATATCTTTCTTTTCCCCCCTTTCTTGTTCCATCCAGAATTCACTGACAGCATCAACTGCTTTCATGACAAAGCAACATTATATTCAGTGGCTGCATTTTCTTCACACCTAATTCACAGGTGCAGAAAAACAAACAAATCCACAGAAGTGATTTATGAAATTGATTAAAATGATTGGGCACATATTCTTAAACATTGTACTTCAATCTTGGTGGCTGAACCAATTTGTTATCAGAATAGTGTATTTGCCTAGCACCCTTTGACTTCACAGCACATCATTTTCTTGGTCTCAGTTTCAGTCATTACATAAACATTGCCTTCTCAAATTAAAAAACAAACATATAACTAGAATTAGATAAATATTTGCAGAGACGATGTGCCTTAGTTGGGTTTCATCCTTTTCCAAACAAGTTGGCTCACTCATCTTGAAAGGCAGCACTTAAGGATAACACCAGTTCATAAAAATTAAAAGGATCAGGACTAATTCTGACTAGAAAAATGGAAAAACTATTATAAGATGGAATATGTTCAGACTGGTTCACTCCAAACTTTACTCATTGGTCCCTATATGGAAGGATCACACTGAGATTTTAAGAAAGCATCTTGCATGTATTAATTAGTGTTGCAAGGATGAAAAGGAATATGTGAACCCATCATTAAAAAATCTAATATTATCACTACTTGTTCTACTGTAATTGTAAAATGAATATATAATGTTATATACATATACACATACATTACTCCTAAAGTTTAAGGCAGCATATATAGAGAGCATTTCCTCCTCTAATTTATCCATTCCTGGAGGTTTGAAGTAAAATGGTCTTTAAGATACTACATTCTAACCATAGTTTCACTAAGGTTAGAATTATGACACTCTAGGTCTAAAAATAAAAAACTTGCTGTTTAGGGTTGTACAAACCTTGCATTAATATCTTGCTCACTTCCAATATGGGCTGCCTTATTGGTTTTGTTTGACTTCAATACTCTTTAATTGAAGAAATTGACTTCAATTTCTCCCAGCACTCCAAGAGTCCTCACAGTTCCTCAACCTTAGCAATTTTATGGCTTCTGGACTTCAACTCCTTGAAATCCCCAGCCAGCATAAGAAATTCTAGTGCTTGCAAGATCAGGAAGAAGTGTTTGCATCCAGGTAGCCTCTAGTCAGAAGCTTCTTCTAGCTTTTACAAGTAACAGTGGAAATGAGAGAGAAGGTGACAAACCACCACCAACATAACATTTATTCGGGTTCTTCATTGAGGCAACCAGCCAGGAGGTAGGGGAGTCTAACAAAATGTAGTTTTAAGATATCTAACGATGTAGTTTAAGACATCTGAGGAAGGCTAAGGGGAATTTTCAAATTTCTTATTGTTACAGTTCACAGCAAATTGCGTAGTTTCATAGAGGTCTTTGTTGTTGCAAGAATTTGCCTTACCAGAAAAATAACCCCTGACATTCTGACAAATAATCATTATGAACCCTGTGATTGACAAGAACAGGGAGAAAAATGATAAAATCCCTGGAAAGTAAAATCAGTCCGTTCACAAGGAATATTTCTTTCCAGAGCAAAGTATCAACTCTCCAGAGTAAGTTTGAGGAAGAAAAGAAAGCTGGGACTACTTTGTGCTGTTTTTGGTGAACCCAAGATCAGTGCAGATAGTTGTATACGGATCTGCTGACATCTCAGTTCCTTGGTACTTTTAACTAGTTCAGTGAGAAATAAAGCTGTTTATTTGCAAATGTGTTTCTGAAATGCAGGTTTTCAGTGTCTATTTTCTTCAACTGCAATGAAGTTCCAGTGGAGACCATTATTTTCCACAAATTAAGCTGACTGTTCTCACCTGGGTAAATAATTCCATTGTTTCTTGTGCTGATGCTTTTAGCTTTTCTGTTTCTATATAACTGTTTCCCATTCTTGTAATTAGATGCTAGCTCTTGAGCACCTGTTCTGTTCCTGGCCTAACTCAGCCTTACATAGGTTGTTGAATTTAATGGGCTCCCCTCCTCAAGAAGACTTTGCTAGATGCAGACCACCAGAGGAATAAAACCAGCACATTCAAAAGCATAATTACATTTTCAGTAGAGACATGTTTGGTATCAAGCTGAATATACAAGCTGTGAGTGCAAAGTGGATTAGAATTCCAATAGGCTTTCTTCCTTTTTTCTGAAATCTGCCAGAATTGTTATGACTTTACAGAAAATGAGCTAAGCTACTCTCTGCAATCCATGACATTCAATTTAGTTAATAGAAGAATGAGTGGAAATAATCATAACTACAATTCAGATATTAACCTGGAGTCTACCCTCCAGATGTGAAGTCAATTACATGCTGAATTGTTTTTGGTTACTGCATAAGCTGCCTCAGTCATTAGTTTTTACACATTTCTTTATCATCAGTAGGTAATGCATGATTTGTTTTGTTCTTATTGGGACTCATCAAGTGCATAATCATTATAGTTAATATTGTACGAAAGTAAGTTTGGCCTACTAGTTTTGGCACCAGGCTAGAAACCAAGGGACTATGAGTTTTAGTCCTACCTTGCATGATAGCTGGCTGGGTGACTTTGGGCCAGTCACTTTTTCTCAACCAGCAACATTAGGTTCAGGTGAAAAACTAGCTGGTCAATTCCTGTCACAACCAACAACACTAGGTTGAGCACCCACACAAAAATTGCTAGGAAGGAAAATGCTAGGAAGAAAAAAGTTCTGTTCAAACCTCTACACTGGGTAGTGAACCCATAAGCCACTGTACTTTATAGAGCGCACCTAGATTTATGAGCTGTCATGGCCTTGGTAGTCAAGATAATCCAGAAGAGAGATATATGGATGAGATTTTACTTACCCATGGTAGTGACTTCTTGATTTATCAAAATCCACAAGCAAAGAGGAGCCAAATTCTTTGCTGCAATTAGCAAAGCACCTGGCAACCGCGGGCTTCAGGTACCAAGGTTTTACTGCATCAACCTTGAGTGGGCAGAACTGATCACAACAGCCAAGAAAAAGATCCTCCTAATTGCATGAGTAATCTCTTTAGTACAAACATATCCAAGTCAGCCCAACAACCATTTGCTTCATTTCAAAACCAAATTAACTTTTGAAAAGTGCATGGCCATATGAATTTTTAAGGGGGGATGCACTAGAAATTCTATCCTTAGCATTCATTCAGCCGTGCAAGCATTGCCAAATGATTTGTTGGCAGATCATCTCAAGAGTTACATTTGCCAAGGGCAAAAGTTAATAAATGTAAATACCTTCATGAATTAGCCATGTAAAAAGAGAGCCACTTCTGAAGAATAGGCATCATTTGAACCAATTTCCTTCATTGTTACTGGTTTTAAAGCAAGCTTCTTAATATGCTATTAAAATAGCATTTCATTAATGGATCAATTTGGTTCATTATTGCTGCATTCCCCTGATATTCCATGGCTTTTTATTTGAAAACTAAAATGAAATAGTAAAACTGATTGCCATTAAGTAAATGAACAGTGGGAGAAGATGCAATTTGCTATCAGCAACTGCGTCCCTTCTGAACTTCACCAAACGTATTTCTGCTATTATTTATCTTTAATTAGCTTTATTAAAATATATTTTGTAAAAAAAATTATATAAAACCTATTTATGATAGATAGGTAGGTGATAGATAGATAGACAGACAGACAGACAGACAGACAGACAGACAGATTTGTGCATACAGAAAAAAGACTGCCATTTCCTTTAATTGACAATATATTCAAAAATGCTTGCTGGTTATGTAAGCCTTTATCTTTTACTTGTTCTGCAATGAGGATCCAGTTGTGGGGGCAATAAGCTGACTTTGTATAAATATACAAAAAGGATGAAGGCTATTGCTTAGCACATTGTAAGCTGCCCTGAGTCTCCGGAGAAGGGCGGCATATAAATCAAATTAAAAAAAAAAAAATTCAAGAGCACATAGAACCAATCTATAGCCTTCTTGCCATTTGAATATTTGTGCCTAATCCATATTAGTTTGTGCTTATGTCTTACTGACACTTCAATAACCACAACTATTGAAATTCGGAATCTCATTTTAATAACATTAAATGCCTTGCTTAGATCACACCACAAAACATAATTGTAAAATACCTTAGAATTCCTACCCTGTCCAAAGGAGGTTACTCACTTGAATGTTGAGTTGCAGGATTTATGTTTTTAATACAGAGTTACTAAAATATTGCAATTCCAAACACAGATTATTTTATCAAATTAAAAGAGAACTAATCTGAAATACTTTATTCTGATCCTTACGAATCTCAAACCCATGCAACCTTAAATGTATCGCATAGACAGATTCTTGAGAATGATGGATATTAAAATCAAATACATTTGGAGAGATCCTCTCCTTTGGGAAGGCTGTTTAAAGGACAGTCGTAAATTTAGCAGGCAGCAGCAGCAATATATTCTATAGTAGGAAACAGAAGCCAATATTTCTACCAACCTTTGATTGAATACATCCTGTGCATGCCAATCTTTCACAGGAACATGGAAACATTTTTCAGGAATGAAAAGGCCTTCAGTTCATCAAAAGCGCATCATTTTAATGTAACAGTTATGAACTCAGAACACTGGAATTAAATTTATAAATAACAAATTCAAAACGTGGCTTTTATGATCCAGTACTCCTGGATCATTACCAGCAAAGAGAGGCAGAGAGGAAACTAGGTTTACTGGGTCCTTCCTTGCCTAGAAGTCCTCCCACCCCTTAAAGTTACAGCTATGAACTAAGGATGCTGTGGAATAGCAGAGTAGTTTGTGCAAGAGATTGTAGAGCAGGGGTGCCAAACTCAATTTCATTGAGGGCTGCATCAGGGTTGTGTTTGACCTCGAGGAGCTGGGTGGGTGTGGCCAGGGACGCCATGGCCAGCTTGACATTACTCGTATTGGGGGCATCTGTGGTGGCCTGAGCGCTCTGCCAGCAAAAACTGGGTTTTCGCTGGCAGAAGCACTGCAGGCCAGTCTTTTGCTGTTTCCAGGGCAGCACCATGGGCCAGATCTAAGCACCCCATAGGCCGGATTCAGACCGCGGGCCTTGAGTTTGAAACCCCTGTTGTAGAGCATTTATGGCTCTGAGCAGGAATATGGCATGGGAAGATCAGCTATTCCTATTGCTTCTGAAAATGCCACTGACTTGTTACTCAAGAAAACAAATTGAATGTGTCTTCAAAGGTTTCTTGGAGCTTGAACATGATAAAGATTAATGATATTTATCCCAAGTGATTTAATGATACATAATTGTCCGTGACTTTAACAAAATATGCTTTACCTGAGCTTTGCTACTGAACTGTAATATCTGAAATTGAAGGAAACATATTAGCTGCATGTTTTATAGAAACACTTAAATTTGTGCTTTATTTACTGATGCAAGAGAATCATAACATTAAATGTTATGTTACTAATGCTTTCCATGCTAGAGTTATAGATATCAATATATCAGTCTTTCCAGATTTAATTTTTAACACTTTAATGTGGCTTTTGTTCTCATTTTCCAAATAATTTTCCTTATTCCCCTTAAATTTGATGTTTTAACATGGTTTTATATGAATTGTTTTTTTTTTAAATGGAATAGAATATTATAGCAAATAATACTTGATGTTACATTTCAAATATTTATAAAATATATTAATATCCGCATTTGCAATATTTAAGTATTGTATAAAAATGAAGTAAAATCCCTGACAATCAATTATGATTTTTTAAGAAAAAAAAATCCCCATATGCTTTCTTTATGCTTACTTTAGCAGTAGAGTTAAATTACTATTTTAACGCCTGAATAATATCTGGTTATCCCTTCCCACTAACAAAACAGTTTTCATCCGACAGATAAAAGTATATTTCCCCCATGTTGTTATAATCATCTCAAATCAATTCATCAGTCCTCACAGACTCTTCAATGAAATCCTCTTCATTGAAGGTTATGGACCATATTTTACTTCACTGGTCTGGTGTGATTAGGTTTTTTTGAACTTCACAGTCTAAACAGAGAAAGAGAATGACTGGCTCAAACTCACCCAGCTGGCTTCGATGCCTAATTGAGGACTTGACTCTCTTCATTCCTAGTCTAGCACGTTACCCACTACACTACACTGGCTCACATTTAAATTCCTCCATGTATATCATTAAAAGCAGGGGCAGGTTTCAACGTTTTTTACTACCAGTTCTGTGGGTGTGGCTTGGTGGGCGTGACATGGCTTGGTGGGCATGGTTTGGTGGGCGTGGCAGGGGAAGGATATTGTAAAATCTCCATTCCCTCCCCAATCCAGGGGAAAGTTACTGCAAAATCCCCATTTCTTCCTGATCAGCTGGGACTTGGGAGGCAGAGAATAGATGGGGGCGGGGCCAGTCAGAATTTTTACTACCGGTTCTCTGAACTACTCAAAATTTCCGCTACCGGTTCTCCAGAATTGGTCAGAATCTGCTAAAACCCACCTCTGATTAAAAGGCATTCCAAACAACCAGACCCCTCTGAAGCAGTAACCTCCAGCATAAAATATACTTAGAAAACAACTCCATTCACAAATTGCTGGCACCTGGCAAAGTTGTCAATTTAAAATGTTTCAGGCTCAAAACCTAATTTTGTCACCAACTACAGGTAGTCCTCAACTTACTAATGTAATTGACCCTCGGATTATGGTTGTTAAGTCATGGTAGCTGTTTAGTGGATCGCCATGTGACCATGATTATTTTTAACAACCTTTTTGCAGTTGTAAGCAAACACCATATTCATTAAGTTAATGCCATGGTCGTAAAATAAACCCGTTTTCCCCAATGGACTTTTTGTTCTTGTTGTTGGAAACCAGGAATAAAAATGCCAAAAGTTGCAGTCATATGACTGCAGGATGCAGTAAACAGCCATAATTGTGAGTTGGTTGCCAAGCATCCAAAATGCAATTCCGTGAACTCAGAGGAAAGTACAGTCATCTGCACTCCAAAATCAGGTTGTACATAGTTCTGGGGAGGTCCATTGTAACATTGAACGGTTGCTAAATGATAATATGTATGTATTATCCCTATATGTCTGTTTCAATATTTCAATCAGATAATCATCAGAAATATTACATCTTTATACATCTTTATATAATAATTATCCATTTAAATACAAATCCCTATATCAAATACATACTTAACATTATTTTAATTGTTCTTTGGAATATCTTGATAAAATATGCATTCTAACAAAATGGATTAGGTTTGTCTCTGTGAAAAATATTGTCGTGAGAGTTGCCGTAAGGCAAAGTGCTCCAACTGTGACATGAATTAATCTGGCCATCCACCCTTTATCACAGCACAGAAACACCTATAAGGAAAAGAAACTGAAATTACTATGACAAAGAAAGCAAACCTAATTTACCACCAGGTTAATACTTTTGATTCAAAGGTAAAGGAAAGATGATATCACCTACAGACTATAACCTGTTTCCTAATCATTTTCTTGCAAAATTGCTATGTAGCAATAGCAATAGCACTTAAACTTATATATCGCTTTACAGTGCTTTACCTCTCTAAGCACTGACAGTCAGCATATTGTCCCAACAACTTGGGTCCTCATTTTACCCACCTCGGAAGGATGGAAGGCTGAGTCAACCTTGAGCCAAATTGCAGACAGCCAGCAGTCAGCAGAAGTAGCCTGCAGTACTGCACTCTAACCACTGGGCCACCGTGGCTCATACTGTATAGTTCAGATATCACTTAAAAGTAATGTCTGATCCAAAACTATTCACAACTTTAGCAGAATGGAAGCTGCTAGAGACAGTGCAGCATGATAATCAGATACAGAGCCTTTAAAATCATTCTAATAAAGGTAATTGATCTCCTATTGACATTATTTCTGAACCATTTATGGAATAAAAACCATGAACCATGCGCCACCTATTTCATAGATACATACAGACACACTAAGTACATGGAGACAGACACCATATTCATTCAGATGTATTTGCAAGTATGATCTGTATATACGGAATAGCAATATGTCATTTATTCACTTTGCTTATTACGGCTGATGCCATTTATTTAGCAATACTTTTTTTCTCTAGGCTCAGAAACCCAGAAAAGGGTATTTTAAGTTGACAAATTCAGAAGATGCAGCTATTTTGACCTAGTGGGTTAAAGGAGAACTTCACAAAGTGACTCTCCAGTCCAAATGGTAGAAGGAAGTGCTGGTTTAGTCACCTGCTTTGAAACAAAGTTGGAAGAAAAAAAATATCACCCACCTCTGAAACCTTAGTGCTCATTCCACTGATGAGGTAAACAATAACCAGGAATCGTGAAATAAGAAGGCCCTTCAAAGGTCTGTAAGGGCTGCATCCGAAGTATCTATAAATGTAGTGGAGGCTGTGTAAAATTCGGATCCCCATATTGAAGCAGTTGGCAAGGACAAATCCTATGCTCCCTAGCCAAGAGGTCAAGAAATAGGACATGCACAAAAATGCAAAGGACAAAGCCAGCATAACAAAGTTGTACCTAAAAACAAAAATGAAAGAAGTGAAAACATTTTACACCACTTCAGCATCTTAGCAATTTAAGGTCTTAGAGATGGAATTATTTTTAGGCTACTTTAAGTAAACCTCTAACTTGTTCATATGCAGATCTCATTGGCTAGGAACCTAAACAACCAGCAGGTCGGTGGTGCAGTGGACTAAGTGCTCGGTGAGCCTCGGTGGTGCAGCAGATTAAGTGCTGTTAAGTGCTAGCACTTAGCTGCCAGCTGCCTGCAATTAATGCGAGTTCAAAACTCACCAGGCTCAAGGTTGACTCAGCCTTCCATCCTTTCGAGGTAGGTAAATTGAGGACCCGGATTGTGGGGGCAATAAACCAGCTAAACAACACCGTTTAGGGGGGGCCGAAAGCCCTAATAAGCAGGTATATACATAAAAGTATGCAGGCTATTGCTATAATGCATTGTAAGCCGCCCTGAGTCTACGGACAAGGGCGGCATATAAATTGGACTAATAATAAATAGGTCACTGCTGAAACATCTGCAGATATATGGAGTAGGTGAGTTCTAGTTCTCTTCTTTGAGACCAACTCAGGAAGTAAATTAAACCACGAAATTTTATTCACATGTTGAATTTGTGTTTGGCTCATTTTTTGTGTCTGACTTTTGTAAATTGATCATCATTTAGTTCAATCCTATTCCAGACAATTTATTAATCTAATCTATGAGCAGCAATATTCCAGATATGGCCAGAAGAGAAAATTGTTTTATCATTTTCTCCCATCTATCACCCCACCTTCCAAAAACTTAAAAAGAAGAAAAACGCATTTCCTATTGACAATTGTGGAAAAAAATACATTTAAAATGTTTATTTCATAATGAAAGAGACACAGATTAGATCCACATTATAAATAGATTGAGATACAGCATATGCACTGCTTTGAACATTGAGAAAATGTTCTATATAAATACAAACCTCACTGAGACTCAGTACTAAATTATGAGCTTTTGTATCTTTTTTTATTCTCTCTTTTCTATCTTTTGTTGCAGCCTCAAAAAGACTAAAAGCTTTCAGGCCTGTATTCAATATAAGCACAGTTTACCATCACACCCAAAGTATAGCAAACTTGAGGTATAGAGCTATGGCAGAGAAAACCAATTACCAACCACAGCTGCTGATCCTGACTTACTCGCTTAACTATTATTACAAAGATTAACATTAGTTTTGGACTTAGCTATAATGATAAAAGTATGTAAGTTAAACAAGAGGTTAAAAATGTCTGATCTCTTGACATACATCCAGAGAGAAAGTTTGTGTATGTCATACTAAAAAGTAGTTTAGCATTATGTCCAAACCAGGTGATATAAAATGGGATGATATAAATAACAGCACACAAGCAACCATCATAAGTTTGATTAAACTTTTTTTATTTAAAAAGAAGGCTCTACTGAAAAGCTGATGAAGTCTAAAAGCTGAACTGAAAAATAGATAGTCTAAAGGCAGCCACAAATATGCATTGAATGGTAACTGAATTGACTGTCCATCAATATTAATATTTCTGTTATGTGGATATGAGTTTATAAACAGTGACATCTATTTATGTCAATTTAAAATGAAATATTTAATAACAGTACCTTTCTCTCTGTCTACACCTTTATCTACAGAGAACTGTTTTGCATGCCACTGATCAAACTGAACCTAAACAGTATCTTAAATATCCTTTTAATATTACAATGTCTCTGCTTTCCTCACACTCATAGGATGTCTAAGGAAGTTCTTTAATTCACAGACTCCCATGCATGGGAAGTGGGAATTAATAACAAATTCATTAAAACGAGGATTAATTCAATATTATTCTGATCTTGAACCAGAATGCTGTAATGAACATCTTCAAGGTTTTTGCCTTTCACACTAGAGGATAGCTTTACTGGGAATGTACAATTAATCACATCTTACAACTCTCTGAAATGTATTTTACTTGATCAAAAGTCAATTTAAAACAAAATTATGGAAGCTGCACAGTGACAGGAATTTGCAGAGAAGCCTACATCAGTTTAAATATGTAATTCAAAATGTTAAAAGGTTTAATTAATCATTTGTTTTCAGTGGGATACGTTCTTTATAAAGTTAAATTTGACTGAAATATACAAGAGACATATCCTTAGTCGATAAAGTTAGCATATGTAGCATCAGAATTTTTTCAGCAAAAGAAAAACAGAAAAGGTTCACTGAACAAGTGTTATTTACTTATAAAGTTTAGAAGCAAAGTTTTATTTGTTTATGTATAAGACCTCCACAACATATGGTGCTGTCAGAACAAAGTTAGCAGTAGGCTGGCAGCTATTATTATGCCAGTCCCAGTACTGAAATTAGTTCACAGCCATAACAGAAAGACCTAAGGCAGACATTTAGGATGAAGCTTATTCTCGCAAGAAGCCACTGCACTGTATTTTAAAGGCTAACCCTTTCACCGAAAATAATTGTTCTGTTTCTAGCAGAGTCTATGGAGTGAGTACAAAGTTTAAAGATCAGTATCAATAAGGGTCATGGCATCCAAAATCAAGCAGAATGAGTTTGTTCACTGTGACCGAGGATAGCATCTTATCTGTTTCGTCACACCAGTGAACAGTGGAGAAGTAAATACTGTACTAATGGCTATGCTTAGTGTAAGACTTTGCACTTTATGTTTTGAAAAAGACTATTGTTAAGTTCCTGGTGCCATTTTATAAACCATTGATGTGGACTAGCATTTCATTGTATCCCTGTCAATTTACATAATGCACCACTCAGAATATGACAGAAAGGCACCATACAAATAAAAAACTTCAATGAGGGATTGCTAGGAATATTTGAAAATCTGAATATTTTAGCTATGTGGATGGCTGCTTATTGGCAAATGAATCAGTTAGGTGTTCACTGACTGCTAAAAAAGCAAGTCACATGTATACTCTTCCTTGAAAAAGAGTTTCATAAATATAATGGACCATATCTAGCAGTAACCATATGTTTATTACTATATACTATATATTAATGAGCCACGGTGGTGCAGTGGTTAGAGTGCAGTACTACAGGCTACGTCTGCTGATCACCGGCTGCCAGCAGACGGTTTGGCAGATCGAATCTCACCAGGCTCAAGGTTGACTCAGCCTTCCATCCTTCTGAGGTGGATAAAATGAGGAGCCAGATTGTTGGGGGCGATATGCTGACTCTGTAAACAGCTTAGAGTGGGCTGTAAAAGCACCTCTCTAAGTCTAAGCGCTATTGCTATTGCTATATAAGTAATATTCAGCTAAATAGTGACTGGAAATGGCAGAGTAGCCTATCTATATACTACTAAAGCTCTTTTTTCAGGTAACTGGGTAAAGCAGTACACCATAGGGCAAAACATTTTGAACCAAACAGAATAACTTAAAGAATGCATTCAAAATCTGGGACCTATGCCTTTCATGGAATTTTATAAAATTGTTTAAAACATTTTATTACATAAAAATTAGCATAAAACAGTTTATGACATAACAAATTTTCGTATGCTGATGTTTGACTGTGCTATACAGTTCAACAAGGATTATTTTCAAGGCAGATATATATGAATGTGTCCCATTTTTTTAGGGAAGGCAGTATATAAGAAGTTCTCTCATTGTTGAACCCAACAGAGAGACTGCTGGAGGGAAGACAAGAATAAATAAAGAAAGCGACCAGAAACTTAGAAGAAGCAGTGTGAGTTTGCTGTAGTTTGCAGTTGGTAAACCCCTTAGCAAAACCCTAAAGGTTCAAAATAGGAAGGTACAGGAAGAATGCTACTTTAGGTTTTCCAAAGTTCCATGAAAACTTTACAGAGTTCCATGATAGAGGGAAATCACTTAAATGCAGTTTCGGGCACCCATGCTAATTTTTCTAAGGTTTAGTAAAAAGAGCAGGGTGGGTCAGCTAACTTTCAGAAGGAGGTTAGCAAAGGTTAGCAATAGAAATAGCACTTAGATTTATATACCTCTCTATAGTGTTTTACAGCGCTCTCTGAGCGGTTTACAAATGTCAGTATTTGCCCCCACAATCTGGCTCCTCGTTTTATTGACCTCAGAAGGATGGAAGGCTGAGTCAACCTTGAACCGGGCAGGATTGAACTCGCGGCGGTGGGCAGAGTCAGTCTGCAATACTGCATTCTAACCACTGCACCACCAGGGCTCCTTCAGGTTCAAAGATTTTAAGTAAGATTCTATGGCCTGAACAACTCTGAAAGCCTTTGTTCATTGATTATTTTCCCTGCTCCAAATACAGATCAGGCACATAAAAATTAATTAAAAGTTTATAACTAGAATGTTCTCAACTCTTCTTTAAAAATAGGCCAGTATCAAATATTGTTATAGATAATGAGGAATTTATTATTAAATTCTGTTATAATTAGGTGAGTTGTTTTATGCTGTAAGAAAATAAATACGCAATAGGAACTGCACCAAGAAACCAGTTTTATTTATTAGGACCTCAAATAATTTGTATTATTAATAAAATACTTTTTTAAAAAATAGCTAAGATTCTAACCAATTCAACAAACACTTCCCTCCAAATACAGCTTGGGATTCTATCCTACAGACTTGAAATTTAGTCCTTTAATATAGATGTAGCTTTCGACTTATAACCATTCATTAAGTGGTTATTTGAAGTTACAATGGTACTAAAAAAAATGACTTATTCCATACATACAACCATTGTAGCATTCCCATGGTCATGTGATGACCATGGCAACTGGCATATATTTATGATAGTTCCAGTGTCCTGGAGTCATGTGATCACCTTTTGCAACTTTCTGACAAGGAAAGTCAAGGGGGAAGCCAGATTCACAGTAACAACTGTGTTACTAACTTAACAACTGCAATGATTCGTTTAGCAATTGTGGCAAGAAAGGTGTTAAAATGGGGGTAAAACTCACGTAACTATCTTGCTTAGCAATGGAAGTTTTGGGCTCAATTGTGCTCATAAGTCAAGGACTACCTTTATTAGAAAACAATCTAGTATAAATAATTCACAAATCATTATCCTTTTTGAGAATTGTACTCATGAATATCTCCTATGCCTAAATGGTAGAACGAATGGAATGAATGGAAGAATACAAGATTCATGCCCAGGATCACGTTGATCCTCAACCCTCAAAATACCCAGGCAATTTCATTTAGTGGGGACACCCCTAATTTGACTTTAAGAAGCATAATTAAAATAAATCCTTCAACTCCAATTGATTATACACATAGATGAACCTTCAGGCACTAGGTGAGTTATGTACATAAACTACTTATCTAGCAATCAGTAAACTTCCCAGTTAAATTAAGATCTTTCAGTTCTTGAATAGTTCCTCATGTAAATGAATGCTTTTTCCTATCCATGAGAGAATAGCTATCAAATTTAATAAGCTATTACTTATTCTGAGGTTCTACAAACTGGATTCTCTTCCTCATTCAAACTTACAATTAAAATTAACTTTTGGTAATTGTGGCAATTTTACATTACCTGTCCACTTCTTCTTTAGACATTGACGCAAAGGTAAAACACTCTGTTATCCCATTAACAGCAAGCAGCAAGACATACAAACTATACCAACGAAGGAGAGTTGGACCTGATTAAACATTGTGACAAGTAGGTAAGTTAATCACACATAACCTTAATTTTGTACACAAATGCAAATAAAAATATTAATAAATTATAAAAACACAATCAACTTAGAGTGTAATCTAGCCATTTAAATTTTTAGTTTAATTCAAGTATTCCATTTCAAAGCAAACATAGTATAAGAAATAGTATCAATAATTAGGTTTGAATACGGGTAATTTATTTAGTTATTTAATGTATATGCTGTCCATTTCACTGTTAAGACAGCTCTGGGCTGCTCCTTTTTTTGGTCTCCATCAATATCAGAGAAAGCTTTACTAGCCAAACTAAAGGCCTCAGAAAGCCTGTTGCAAGCCAGATGGCTGCTTTTAATGTGCAATCCATTAACAGAATTATACATCTTTTTCACGAAAGCAGCAGATGCCAAAAGACAATTGATTAATCTATTCTGCTTATTACAAAATTAATTTTATATTAAAAAATTGAGTCATCCATTGAAAGCTAGATAAATATATGTGGAGTGCATGAAGCTACCTCATAGAAAGTCAAACCAAATAAATAGATAGGTTGATAAGATATTTCAATTCTAGCAACTCTCTCAAGTCTCAGGGAAAGGTTGCTGCTTTATTTTAAATTATGAGAGTAGAACCTGCAGCCCACCAGATGTTACTGGGCTACTGTTCCCTGTGCAACTTTAATCAGTGTGCCCAATGGTGAATGAAGCTTTACTTCATTCACCATTGCTAGAAGCTTTACTTCAGCAAAGTCTAGAGAGCAGGGGTTTCCTTCTCCAATTATAAAAGATGAACTGAGTACAGAAGTAAGCCACTAACAATATAACACTGGTTCTCATTGTATAATTTCCCTTCCTATTTCCTCTATGTAATGAGTTTGCTTTCAAAATGGTTGCCAATCTTTCCATCAAAGGAAGATATTCCATTTCTGGATGCGGCACCTAGAAAACCATCCCAATATTCATAGCACTCCAACCTCATTGGTTGTTATGTCTCATTACACTCATTGTTATGTAATGTCTCATTACAACAGCAAAAATCCAATGCACAAAGCTTGTCTATTCAGAAAACCAGAGTTGAAGGAAAAGAATTGTGCATCTTTTCCTGAGCTTGTTGAAAATAGGTGCTTGATTTAAAGAAGGGCAGATAAGTGTAACGTGAATGTCTACCCACACTCTGACTCATTTCTCTCCTTTGAATTCATTGCACAGTCCTAACAACATGAATTAAATCTAAGACTAAGCAAATCTAAGCAAAACTCTAGACAACTATTTAGTTGTAATACGATTGCTATGCATCAATTCTTTCAAATATTGTGTACCTTCTCCAGAGATAAAAGTCTATCAAATAGGCTTTCAAAACATAATTTGAAATTTATGAAAGTACATTTCAGAAAGTAAATAAGTATTACCTGATCCTGAACTGAGCATTGATCCTCCATAAAGATCCAGTGCCAATTGCGAATAAGCAAAACCAAATACTGTAATGGTTAAGCCAATCAAAAGCACCAGTTTCAACAGTGATTCTAATACAGTAGCTGCCATAGAAATTTCATCCTAAAAAGGAATTATATATTTATTTAATGTAAACAACAAAACTGTTCAAGATTATTATGCTAAGTGTATACACAGAATAATCAGATTTTATTCATTTATTGATTTGTATTAAATTTATAGGGCAATTGGGAACTCTTGCCACCTTTATAATGTGCTATGTTTAGTTTTTTAGTCACAGTGAAATTATTACAAATAAGCAAAGGCCATTTTTATAGAATATGTTTGACAGTATACACATTTAAAGGTACGTGATATGCTGAAACTTACAGACTTAAATTGATCTGTACAAATTGCTTCATTAAAAGTATCTTAATTTCACTGGGAAATCTGCAATGGGAAAATAAATCTATTTGACAGTTACCTTCAAATGCAATATAGGGAAAGCAAAAACACTCAACACTCCTAGTAAACTATGTCAGACTTTATTTTTTACTTTTACAGCAAATCAATCTGATCTTAAAATAAACATGATACTTAGGCTTAATCTATCTAAGCTGTAAAAATCCAGATGACTGCAAGTGAAAATTCTCTTTGTTGCCATTTAATGATCTTCCAGATTTCTGCGGCCTAGATTTCCAAGCCTTAATTATCTTACACTGTTTGTTTGTTTTAGGTTTACTGTAGATCTTTTCTCCAGGATTCAAAACAGCACGTGTAGCACTCACCTTCAATTTTTTTCCCCACAGTAAGAGGTCTGTGTAGTAGGTAAATTATGTAATATTACTTCTATATTTTGTATTTTATTCATAAACTCTAATATGAAATGTATATTCATACTTATTCAAGAGCTAGTAATCCAATCCTGAGTACTTTCACCAAAAATAATTTACTACATTGAAATTAATTGAAAATAACACCCTGCTTTTAAATCACAAATTCTAGTATAATTTCAGTATGTGTATGTATATATATATATATACACACACGCACATACTGTACATAAACCTTTATTTGCACACACATGGCTTATAGGACAATGTGTTTCCTTTAACATTTTTTGAAAACCATGATACATCAAGATTTTTCTTACTTAGTTCTGTAAAGTACTTTAGAACTAATTAACATACAAAGAGGCCTCTTGGAAGGCCTCTTCCAAGAAGACCAGCACTGTGTTCTGAAATCAGCCAAACAATTTTTTCTGAGAAGAGTTCATTATCTTCCAGTTGCTGTTCCCAGGGACTAATGGTGGAGGAAGCTAACTCTGAGGCCATATTATCCATACACTTATCCCTCAGCCTTTTAGACCTTCCATTAACTTCAGAGAGCAATTTGTAAAATGCGACAAATATATTCCTTTCCTTTTACCCGTCCTCATTTTCTCACCATTCAATTTCACCAAACAGCTTTCTGTCATAATATAGAGGTTCTGTATCATGAGAGGAAAAAACTCTACATACAGTACATTCTCCATTCTATGCTTAATTGTACATCTATCAGTTTTCCTCTCTCTTTCTAGTGAAAACGTGTATTAATGCTTTAGAAAACATTGATCAATACTTTCATCCTTTTTACTTCTGTAGCATGTTAAATTAACAAATGTTAAGACTAAACTTACCTGTTTTTGCAACTTAGTATCTTTCCCACGTTCTAGAACTTTAGCAAAGTATACATAAAAACTCTCTTCTATTGGTAAAAATATAAATCTAGCTGTCAAAGAACCAAGGTTGTTTATAATATCATATACACCTTTGGAAAGGAGGAGAAAAATAAAGTTAATATGTTTATTATAAACTTAATGTCTACTCACAATATAAATTAGTCTCTATCTAAAAACATGTTTCTATTAAGATTAAAAATATTATAAGTATTATATTAAGATTAAAAATATTATAAGTATTATAAATAACATTCTACAAGGTTCCAGATAAATTATCTGAATAACACTTGCAACCCAGAGAGCCAATATAACAATTTAAAAATAATATAATAATTCATTTTTATAACAACAATCAACCTAATAGAGAAATCTACTCTATTCACACTAATGAGCAAACAATTATTTCTGTGGCAAACTTATTTCATAGAAATGGAAAATCATTTTCAGTTCCAAGAAAAATAAACTATCCTTTTTCAAAGTGCAGAATTTTAAAAACACTAAGATATTGCATTTGTTTCACATTCATTGAACTATCATAGAAATCTTCAATCTGATATTTTCCAGGTTTGTTAAACTTAAATCCTTATAATTCAATGCTCTGGGAACTCATTGACAAATAAAGATCAGCATATTGCCATGTTAGAAAGTCAGCTGTCTCAACTTATCTAATGCAGCATATATGGTATTATTTCGTTCTTTCATTAACACGGAATCAGATATGTCATTATCATTAAGAGAAAGTATACACTTAGAATCAGTTCACTGCATGACTGAAGTTTACATATGGCATCACTAGGAGACAATTAAAAACTGCGGCAATCTATTCATAAATTCATACTGAATATGACTCCTCGCCTCCTCACAATTCTGATTTCTCCACAGAAGTACCAATAGCTCTTTTACAGACAGCCATTCCCCAGGGATTTTCAAGCTCTGCAGTCATTTATACTGACTCCTAGTTGGGCCTATGCCTAGGTTCCCCCCTCCCCCGCCCCTTTCTCTTTCTCTCTCTCTCTCTTTCTTTCTTTTTGAAAACAAACTCTTTCCTCATATTCACCTACATTCACAGAAGATTCCACAGGAAAACAAATCAATAGTCAGGGATAATGTTTGCATCCCACTATCTCCCCCAGATGGTTTGCTCAGGTCATCAGTTGAGATCCCTAATACTGATATGCCATGATTATAATTTAATCTCCATCCTCTCCTGGAACATAGCTAGATGATAAATGAGGAACCCTCTGGAATTACATTACTGTTTTTCGTATTTTCTTTTTCCAAGAAACCTGAGTTATGCATGATCTATTTATACCTGGATATGCCCACTCTGCCTTTAGAGTCTCACCCGGTATAAACAATACGAACCCCTCATGAAACTGAGAATACAATAATTGCTCCCACTAAATTTGATATCCCTGTGGTTACATTAAAGCCATATCCTAGCATAGCCCTAGCCTTTTTCCTTCAATTTAAGCCTTGTACTATTATGATTAAGAACAGATACCTCGGTTTTGTAAATATATGACATTAATGCATCTTCTTGAAAACTATATTATTAATTTGCTATATTTATACCCAGATAGTCCAGTACTAGATGCAGGCAACTTAAACGATGCATGCATTGGAGTTTGACGCTTCCCTGTTAGTTCATTTTAAATGGTTCCCCCCCTTCCAAAAAAAAAGAGAGACCTTTTTATTCCCAGGTCTGATAGTCTAAAGCAGGGGTGTCAAACTGGTAGCCCTCAGGCTGGATGAGTCACGCACAGGCCACGCCCACCCCAGCTCCACAAATGGGAAAATCATGAAAAGTCACGTGATGGTAACGTGACATGGCGACTTTGACACCCGTGGTCTAAAGCATTATAACAATGTGAGGTTTTTGACTGTCCAAATGAGTGTGGAATTTCTAAATGCCTCTGCCAGAGGGATTCTAATGGGGAACTCAGTTCCAAGGTCCAAAAAGTTAAAAATGATAGTATAAATTTTAGGTACCTATGTTAATCAATAAGTCATTTTGTATTGAGATTTGTTTTGCTTGGACAATAATGCTTTATCTGTTGTTTTATAATTGATGTTTAATTATAATTAATGTTTTTCGTGTTGTAAGCCACCCAGAGTCATTGGATACGATATGGACCGCAAATAATTTTATAAATAAATAATACAATTCCACATTTTGATATCAGAATATCATTATGGAGAAAAAAGATACAGTTACTTTGAAGAGTTGCACCGAGGTGCTCCATTTGCGTCTGGACAGTCCGAAACATTTGATTTTAAAATTGAAGTACTGCACACCTCCGATCATTGTGACATTTAGTAATCTTAGCCTCATAATCAGATTAGCTGATATTACATAACACAATAACGAAATACCTCAAATCTTTATTATATTTATCATCGAAAGTCAGAGTCACATAAAAATGTTTTTAGATTATTTTTAGATATTCACATATATTTCTTCCATGCAGGTAAATTTTGTTAAAGTCTTTCCTACCTTGGTCTCCAAAATTTAAAACATTCAGGAAAGTCATCACATATCTTTCACCTATAGAATTAATATTTCAAATTAGTATTTCTTTCTTAAAGGGTGATCCTGCTCAGGCTTAAGAAGCCAGTGGTCTACTCTGCTTAAGAAACTTTCTTTGAATCCAAACACACAGTATATTCAAAGAAAAAGAAGTGGCAATAAAGGTTACTTTACCTTATCTTACCTTACCTTACCCTATTCTACCCTATCTTATTTTATCTTGACAATTTTCATCGTGTTTCCTACTTCACCCTTTTAGGAAAGGTCGTTGGGAGAGCCCAGGAGGAAACAGATTATCTGGACCCTTTTAAGTCAGGTTTCAGACCAGCGCATGAACCCAAGACAACACTGATTGTCCTTCTGAAAGACCTCTGGTTGGAGCAGATGTGTCCACTCTTCCTCTCTTGATCTCTCAGTGGCCTGCAATACCATTATTCATGGTATATTTTGGACACTGAAACCACTCTGGGGTTGGAGTAGAAGAACACAGCATTGTAGTGGTTCTGCTCCTTATTTCAGAACCAGTTGCAGTTAGTGTTGATGGAGGGGAGAGATCTATTCCAAGCTCCCTTCTTTGTAGGATCTCTCTGGGCTCTCCCCGTTTATACTGAACATCTACATGAAGCAGCTGAGCAAGATAGTTTGCAAACACTACAATGAGAGTTATCATCAATATGTTGATAATTCTCAGTTATGTATCTCTATCCCAGGATATGCAAGTGATGGGATTAAATAAGGGAAGAACAGGGTCAGTTCAATCCTAGTGGCTTTGGATTTTAGAGCTCTGGCTCTGATGATTTCCATTGTTAGTTCTTTTGATGGGGTAGCACTGCCTAATCAGAATTGTATGCAAATTTGGGGTCCTCCTGGACTTGCAACTCCTATTCAAAGAGTAGGTAACAGCTAATCCAACTGCGTATTTTCCTGGATCAGGAGCCCTGCTCATAGTCACTCACGCCTTACTATCTCCTGAGTAGACCATTGCGACACACTTTACATGGGCTGCCTTGGATGGTCTGTAAGTTAGATGTGCCCATCGCTAAGTTTGTCTTTCTTACGATTGAAGCTGTGGTTTGTCCTCAACCTCCACTACTTTTCTTATTTTTCTTTTTTCATTTGGTTTGATTTTAACCCTGTGCACCACACAGAGTCACTGTTGAGAGATCGGTGGCTATGTAAACTAGGTAAATCAATGGAAGGAAGGAAGGAAGGAAGGAAGGAAGGAAGGAAGGAAGGAAGGAAGGAAGGAAGGAAGAGAAGGAAAAGAAAGAAAGAAAGAAAGAAAGAAAGAAAGAAAGAAAGAAAGAAAGAAAGAAAGAAAGAAAGAAAGAAAGAAAGAAAGATGGGGCTGTAAGCTGAAATAGTAGGCAAGTATTTCTCAAAGATTATCAAAAGATTATCAAATAATTCAGTACCTTCCATGTTGCAATGAACAGAGACAAAACCTATATTAAAACAACCTCATGAAATCAGCGTGTTTCTTCTCGTTGCTCTATAGCCTAAAGTTAAACCCATTCCAACAATTCTAAAAATGCAGAAATGTCAATCAATGACATTCTTATTGATATAGTTGGCAAAAGGGGACTGAGAATAAAAAATGTAAGTTGAAGAAAGTGTCGTACTCACCCTCTGTTAAAACCTGTTTTAGGAATGACTGCTTAAAGAAACTCCAAGTCAACCTTGCTTCCTTCCAGTTAACAATATCCTGAAATATATACAAATAATTAGGTATAATTAAATAGCCTGTCCCATTTTGTCTGGGTTTAAAAACAGCAGAGTTGGCCCCAGTTAATACTTGGATAACAGGCCTCTCTGGTACACCAAGGCTAAAAAGGCTAAAAAGAAATCCTGGAAGAAAGTAATGGCAAGCACACACCTCCATTCCACTTCCAAGAAAACCTGGAACTTCCTGGATGTATCTAGGAAGTCACTGAAGGTCAAGCTTGATTCAATTTACTGTACACTGATATATCAGTGAAAATATTACATAACACAAACTCTGAAAAAAACCTATTTAATTAAAACACTATATTTAATTAAAATAATGTCTTAATTAAATAAAAATACACAGATATACCTGTTCCTGGTCTAGGAAGAAACTAGGAAGTTTCTGCAAATGTTAATGTGGAAGACTCTTCATTTTTAGAGCTACATTTTAATATGCAACTCATAGAAATGTCTTCTATTATAACATCTGAACTATTCACCAGAAGATTAAAATGCAGTCATTTTAGCTTACTCAGGTGTTTTTATATTAGAATTAACTATATATTTCCATAGTAAAATAAACTGGCTTTAGGCTAAAGGTTTTCTAACACTTTCCTGAAAAATGATCTGCATACAAGATCATTGAGCTAGTGCAGCTATTAGCAAAAGCCGTTTTCTGTATAACATATTTATCATTTCTAAAAGGTACAATCATCTCTGGATCTAAAGATTTGCTTACATAAATAAAAATCCACTAAGTGAAGTTTAAATCTAATATCAAAATGGTTAAAAATGCATTTTGCTCAATAATTTACAGGAACCCCTATCTTTTCTTCTCTGAAACATTTCAGAATTATTTTAGTAGTTCAGTGTCAAATTTCATTAATATCAAAAGAATAGTTTGCACCCTAATGATTTTAATGACACCAATATTAAAATAACGGACTTCATTTCTTTTCATCATAGGTTTCTTAATTCTGTTTAAATTTAATAATCTACTCTGCAGTTTGTTGAGCACATTATACACTAGATAAGTCAACATTTTGAATTCATATAAGCCATTTTATATATATTTGTATAACTTTAAACATAATGTGAGGTTATGCAAAAAAAACCTGTTTTACAATCAGAATATTAATTTAAGTATATAAATTGGTTACACTCTTTTATAATTAAGAATACATGATGGATTTAAACTAACAAGCCACCAGAAACATATTTTATAAAATAAATCTAAGTTCAGAGAAATCATTGAAAGATTTTTGCTTATAGGGTTAGATCTTGCAGTTATTAAACAGTTATTCTGGGTCACTAAGCAGACAGAGTCCCAGGTAAGGAGCGCAGGGTGCCTTAAGTATTAAGGGAGGCCTGGGAGGGTCCACTTACTTTGTGGAGAAGCCAGCAAAGAAGATTGCTAATGGTATCACAAGACTGCGGAACATTTGGCAACCAATCATATGTTGTACAGGTTGCTAAGCACTCAGATAACGATCACTTAACTACAGAGGGGTATGTGCAATGCTTTCTGATAGTTGGAAAAGCTTTATGGGCCATAAAACACCCTTTCCAAGGCCACTGTAACTTCAAGCAGTCATTAAACAATCAGACCTAAGTCAAGGACTATTTATATTATAAAAATAAAGTTTACAAAAACACAGCTGAGACATATGATATAACTTCTCCAGTACCACTAAAACTACTCAATGGTGATAAACAAATGACCAGTGATGCGAGTTAATAAAATATTTTCCTCATATTTCCTCTTATATGTAGATGGTATAGGCTGGAGAGTATAGGCTGGACAGATGGATACTTTGTGAGGGTCACTTCTTAAGGGATAGAAAAACCTTAATGCACAGAAATATGCCACATGATGTAGAGAATAAGAAAGAGATGGCCTTGACAGGAATTTGTAGGAAATGTTAGGCAAATGGGCCAAAACATTTTTATGTCCAGAATAGCCAAATGACATTTGAAAGTGAATCAGGAAAATGCCTCCCTAAATTACTGAAGGAAGAGGAGATACAGACTGATCAGACTGCAAGATTCTGTTAGGTTGCCTTGATAAAAAAATATTGTTTTTATAGCACTATTATTATTTTGGAAATCCTTTGTTTTATGTATCATAGTTAGGTCTCACAAAAAGAGAAAGAAAGAGAAAAAAAATGTCTCAACCCATTTCAGGTACCAATTTTTTTATTTACTAATATTGAATATCCAAGTCATAAATAATCTTACTATAACAAATATGTGCACACAAGATCTCAAGTATTATATGCTTATTTTTTCAAACAATAAAATGTAAATATTAAAAATGTAGGGGGACGCGGTGGCTCAGTGGCTAAGACGCTGACCTTGTCGATCAGTAAGGTCGGCAGTTCGGCGGTTTGAATCCCTAGCGCCGCATAACAGAGTGAGCTCCCATTACTTGCCCCAGCTTCTGCCAATCTAGCAGTTCGAAAGCATGTAAAAATGCAAGTAGAAAAATAGGGACCACCTTGGTGGGAACAGCGTTCCGTGTGCCTTTGGCATTTAGTCATGCCGGCCACATGACCACAGAATTGTCATCAGACAGCACTGGCTCTTCGATTTAGATACGGAGATAAGCACTGCCCCCTAGAGTCGGGAACGACTAGCACATATGTGTGAGGGGAACTTTTACCTTTATTAAAAATGTAACCAACTGAAACCTGAAAAATGACTCTGAAACTAAAACTGATTAACAGCTAACTGGTAAACATATGATACTTAATCTAAGAATTTATTAGGACAATTTGGCTACTCATGAACAACAAATATCTTGCGCCAAGAAGTTATCTAATTTTTTTTAAGTTGTTGGACTTACCTCATTTTGTCCCAAAGCAGGCAAAAAAGATACCATTCTGGTAATAGGAAATGATTTTTTGGTTGCTTCAGGAGAACCCAAAAATTTCATGAAATATATTATATAGCACAATACTAGAATGGTAGTGTATAAAAGCTGCAACAGAAAAATAATTCATATTGATTTTATTGTCAACATAGCAATGCAACAACATTCTTATTTGAACAGCAACAAAAGAGAATGTCGGCAACATTCAAAAGTCATGCAATTACATCCACTCCAATCCTGCTTAAGGATCATCATGGTGAGACAGATGCCAAGGGCCACAGGATGCAAGCAGTATGACTTTTTTCTAGGGGGAACCTATCAACTTCAGTTTTCAGTTCAACCTCAGGTGTATTTGTGAGCATTCACCTTAACTTGGGCCAAGAAATTTAAGATGATGAAGGGAATGCTATAAGTGGGAAATTTAATGCTGAATTATTTTCAAGACTAACCCATCCCTTATGTTCATCTCACCTCCTTGGCAGAGTAACACTGGCACTTCTGCATAAGACACAAGCATATACTAGCTTTCCATACATACTAGTTATCCATCATGCTAAATTAAATGTTATATGTGTCTAGCATGCACAGGGATATAAATATATTTGCTTGTGAAATATATTTTCCATTAATGTGATGTAACTTAAGGAAAACATGCCAGTTTCTACAACCAATTCTTATGATAGATCCAATAAATGTTAATAAAGCAGGGAGAAAATTGTACCTGAGCCAAAGAAAAGATATAGAGTCCCCAGTGTGGATACAAAACTACTAGAAGAACTGTCAAAAAGCATTTGCAAAGGATTGACAAACTCTCAGCAATCACCTGTAAAGAATATACAAAGATCTTATCAGAAACACAACTTCCTAATACTTATGTGTCAGATTCAAAAAGCATGGAATCCAGAATTCTTATATTGAAACTTTTCTACAAATATGCACTTCTGAAAAACCATTAATACTTTCTATAAGACCAGAAACTTCTCAAAGTACAATTTTTCTTTAGGATGACATTTTCAGTTGTTTGGGTATTCATATCCTCTGTGCCAAAAACAATGAATTGAACCTCAGTTAAATTATTCTTGCTTTGTTTCAGGAAAATCAGGCAGTTATCAGGATTAAAAATCCTATTGATTTTAGTGAACTCAATGTAGTTGAGTTGAGTTCATCACTCAATGATGAACAAGTAAAGCAATACTATGGAAGAAATCCTGTAGTCCCAAATATTTCCAGGTCTGCAATGATGGCTCTCTGTTGTAAACAACGCCATCATCAGCTTTGAAATGGAAAGAAAAATAATAAAAACAATTGCCAGAGATGAAAAGGAAGAATCTTCATGTACTTCATGGTTATGCAGGTGCGGCTTCTGCAAGACTACCTCTATGTAAACCTCATTTTGCCAGTGCAACAGCACTTCCACCACTTCTGCTTAGCCAGTCTAGTGTAGTGGTTAAGATGCTGACTAGAAACCAAGAGACTATGAATTCTAGTATGAGACTAGAAGTGTGACTTTCTCAGCCCAACACATTTCACGGTGTTATTGTTGTGAGGAAAATAAGAAATAGAAGAATTATGTACACTGCTTTGAATTGTACAAAAATAAAAGGTGGTATTATTATCATATACACAACAATGTGAAATCACAGCTGCCAGTTCTTTAACTGATGTTGGCCTTCATTCGCATCAAATTCTTCCCAAAAACCTAGGCTGTCCTAATTTATATATGCAGAATTGCAAATCCAAACAGTGTGATTTTTTTTGTATCTCACATTTGGAGATTTTATCAATAGGCAGATTTTCTAAGTATTGTCCAAGGCTTTTGGGTATGATACCCAATGTGCAATAACCATTGGAACCATCATTGCCAGTTTATGCTATAATCTTTCAACTTCAATTTTCTGATCTTGATATTTTGTGATTATTTTGTATCTTTGTCTTATGTATGGTTCATTCACAGTCAGCCAGGTATTCAGATTTATTGTTGTTGTTGTTATTAATTATTTCATCAATAAGACTAATGCATTTAAGTTAATGTATTTAGGTTAATCAGTAAATCAATACTTTACCTATAAGAAAATGTCAGAATATATGTCAGAATAAAGATTTTTAACTTCAGACATCTGTTCATTACTGTAATTTTAAAAGAAGCAAAAAATACAATTTAATATAGTTTCACTAACCTTTAGCCGTACAAGTAAATGTATTTGAGCTAAAACCCAAAAAGGTTCACCCAGGAGTTCAATCACAGCAGAAAGACAAAAAGCAAGTACTCCAAAATTATAGTAAGGAACTGCATTTTCATTAGGAACTTCAAGTACATCTAGCCAGATCCAGCCCAGGAACACACACCAACATACACCCAAAGGAACTCTACAAAAGTTAAGATAAACCATTAAGCCAAAATTAATAATTTGCTCATTTCTCTCCTATCTTCAGTGTGAATTCTTAGAAAAAAATCTGCATCCAGTTTTAGCAAACCAAGAGTCAGTACAATAAACTTTAAAAGTACAGGCAACTGGTTTTTTCCTGCATCTGCAGAAATAAATTATTTCTGCAGTTTAATTACAATATTTCTTGGAATGCATTACAACTTATAAGGTTTTTGCATAAATATTTATTTGAGAAATCTATACTTTTCATCCAGTGCTTCAGGGTAGGAATGCTCTTTGGAAACTAATAACCCAATACAAAAAGCAAAAAAGAAACAGCACAAACAGCAAATTTTGCAGGTGTCATATGCAAATATGCACGAATGTGGATACACACAAACAAACACACTAAAAAAGCCAAGGCACTTATATTTCTTTGAGTATTATATAAAAGACCCAGTCTCTCCCACCAGCATTGACTTTCCAAAGTTTATTTAACTTTGGAACATTAGCATTGAAAATTGGAGATTGCTTTCTTTTTCCAGGCAGTAAGGCAAAAATTATTCCAAAGAAAATCATTCTCATGCAAGAGCTGAATAGCAGCTTTTCTCAATTTCTCAAATGTGGTTTATGGAGATGTGGTAATTAATATATGCAATTAGAATTAAATTAGAATTAGGTAAATGAAATTACCTAATTAAATATTAGGTAATTAATATATGCAATTAGGATGAAACTATTACAGATAAACTAAGATGTAATTTAGGTAAGTATTAACAATTTCATAGCCTATCTTGAGGAACTCAACTGCCTGTTTCTCAATGCAATCATGACTTCAAAAACAAGCTCCTATGCCTTTTCAAAAGTGCAAGCAGCATTGCAGAAGAACTGCAGAAGAAAGAAACTAATATGTTCAAATGAGTGATTTAAACTTACGTTAGCCATAATAGATTAAATGTTTGTGTCCAGTTTCTCCTTGAGTTCCCACTCAAACAAGCTTTACGAAATGCTTCTCTGGCTAAGAAAACTATTGTTGAATAAAGTAGCGTCAGTCTAGTATTTTGGGAGGAAAAGGAAAGAAAAAAGAAAGGAAAGGGAATTTCATTTTAAAAAGGGAATTTCAACGATCGATAATTTTATTATATTGTTGTTAATATAGTTATATTAACTATATACAGTCAGGTCCAGAAATATTGGGACATCGACACAATTCTAACATCTTTGGCTCTATACACCACCACAATGGAATTGGAATGAAACAAATACAATGTGCGTTAACTGCAGACTGTCAGCTTTAATTTGAGGGTATGTACATCCAACTCAGGTGAACGGTGTAGGACTTACAGCAGTTTGCATATGTGCCTCCCACTTGTTAAGGGACCAAAAGTAATGGGACAGAATAATAATCATAAATCAAACTTTCCCTTCTTAATACTTGGTTGCAAATCCTTTGCAGTCAATCACAGCCTGAAGTCTGGAACGCATAGACATCACCAGATGCTGGGTTTCATCCCTGGTGATGCTCTGCCAGGCCTCTACTGCAACTGTCTTCAGTTCCTGCTTGTTCTTGGGGCATTTTCCCTTCAGTTTTGTCTTCAGCAAGTGAAATGCATGCTCAATGGGATTCAGGTCAGGTGATTGACTTGGCCATTGCATAACATTCCACTTCTGTCCGTTCAAAAACTCTTTGGTTGCTTTTGCAGTATGTTTTGGGTCATTGTCCATCTGCACTGTGAAGCGCCGTCCAATGAGTTCTGCAGCATTTGGCTGAATGTGAGCAGATAATATTGCCCGAAACACTTCAGAATTCATCCTGCTGCTTTTGTCAGCAGTCACATCATCAATAAATACAAGAGAAACAGTTCCATTGGCAGCCATACATGCCCACGCCATGACACTACCACCACCATGCTTCACTGATGAGGTGGTATGCTTAGGATCATGAGCAATTCCTTTCCTTCTCCATACTCTTCTCTTCCCATCACTCTGGTACAAGTTGATCTTGGTCTCATCTGTCCATAGGATCTTGTTCCAGAACTGTGAAGGCTTTGTTAGATGTTGTTTGGCAAACTCTAATCTGGCCTTCCTGTTTTTGAAGCTCACCAATGGTTTACATCTTGTGGTAAACCCTCTGTATTCATTCTGGTGAAGTCTTCTCTTGATTGTTGACTTTGACACACATACACCTACCTCCTGGAGAGTGTTCTTGATCTGGCCAACTGTTGTGAACGGTGTTTTCTTCACCAGGGAAAGAATTATTCAGTCATCCACCACATTTGTTTTCCATGGTCTCCCAGGTCTTTTGGTGTTGCTGAGCTCACCGGTGCATTCCTTCTTTTTGAGAATGTTTCAAACAGTTGTTTTGGCCATGCCTAATGTTCTTGCTATCTCTCTGATGGGTTTGTTTTGTTTCTTCAGCCTAATGATGGCTTGCTTCACTGATAGTGACAGCTCTTTGGATCTCATCTTGAGAGTTGACAACAACAGATTCCAAATGCAAATAGCACACTTGAAATGAACTCTGGGCCTTTTATCCACACATTGTAATTGGGGTAATGAGGGAATATCACACACCTGGCCATGGAACAGCTGAGAAGCCAATTGTCCCATTACTTTTGGTCCCTTAACAAGTGGGAGGCACATATACAAACTGCTGTAAGTCCAACACCGTTCACCTGAGTTGGATGTACATACCCTCAAATTAAAGCTGACAGTCTGCAGTTAACGCACATTGTGTTTGTTTCATTCCAACTCCATTGTGGTGGTGTATAGAGCCAAAGATGTTAGAATTGTGTCGATGTCCCAATATTTCTGGACCTGACTGTAACTATTATAATTATCAATAATATGTATCAAAGGAGATTTGATTACCTTAAGGGTTATCAATTGTGAATTGCACTCACCCAGGTCCACATGCAACTTGGGAAGAGTCATAAAATTTTATAGAAGTTGTGCCAGACACAAACTAGGCCTTTGAAATTTTAATAAGCTCATAAGTCATTTACCACCTGCTTCCTTTTTTTAATAGAGGAAATATGAACTGCCCAATATGTATTTTCAAATTACTTAAGTTTCAAAATACTTAAGTTTTAGTCTTTTTTTAATTAACCTTTTAATTAACCTTTTATAAATACATAGCTTTTAAAGAGTTCTTAAATTTATTTGTTAAAAATCTGAGGTCATATTAAAATTTCAGTGGTTTTTTTTTTTTATTTTACTTTGCTTACATATATTTTGGGAATTGGAGATCTCATTTCTGCAGAATATAACAGTTACAATCTATATTCATGCTTGGTAAGAATCCCCAGATATTAGGGTAAGTTTCTTTTCTCTAGATTCTATCTAAGTTATATTTAAATGTTATACTAAGTTTCTTAATAACACTATTAATTACAGAAAAATACAATCTTACAATATTTTACCATTTTGTACGCAATTGTAACTCACTGAGTATATTACATAATATCAAGAAAAAGTGGAAATTATTTTTATTAATTTATACCACATATTTATCTGTGTAGTCCCATTGTTTATTTTGTACCTGTATGAAGACAAGTTTCTTGAGGGTTTCATAATAAAAATTAAAATCAGGAAATATACAAAATGAAAATCATAAAACAAGAGCACATGGAAAATATTACTCAAGGTTTTCTTAGGTCTCTTCTAGAGTTCTATTGCTTTGGGTGGATTGGGTGGACAATTTTAAATGTCATATTCTTTCAGCAGTAATTTTGCTCTAAAATAACCATAGGTAAAGAATATTACATTAAAGTATCGCTAAGTCTGCATCAGGTTACACTGCAACAGCTCTCTTTTAAAGGTAGAAATGTATTTTGGACATGTGACTGTTATTTTTCAGGCAAGGTTTTTGTGAATCAAGGGAACATAGCAAAACTATCATGTTTCCCCAAAAATATGACATGTCCTGAAAATAAGGCCAATCCTGATTTTTAGGGTGGGCAAAATATACGGCCTCCCCTGAAAATAAGCCCTAGTGAAGGGTTGGGCGTGGACAGCACAGAAGGCACCCCTTCCCTTCCCCGATCAGCTAATGGCAGCTGGGCTCCTTAATGGCAACCCGCAGATCAGCTGAGCTGATCAGGAGCTGCCCCAGTGTTCTTGGTGCTCGCCCGCCTTCCATCCATCCATTCCCCTCGCCTGAAAACTCCCACCCCACTCGCAAGAGAGCAGCCACCTTGCCACCCAGCGGCACTACCCCCTCCGGCAAGGCAGAGCGCCACTCACCGACCGAGCGGTATCCCACAATCATGATGTGGGCGAAGCCGATGAGCACCAGATCCTTGAAGAGTCTGTGCCGCTGCCATCCCAGCACTGAGGTTGACTTCCTCTGTGGCTTCCAACCCTGTCTGGAAGCTGCTGGAAGCCGAGAAGAGGCCGGTTGGGCCAGCTGCCTGCTGCCGAAGTCCCGCTCTATGGTTTCAGGTCCATGCAGCTGCTCCAGCTCCCAAAAGACTTGGCAGTAGGCAGCTGGCCTGACCGGCCTCTTCTTCGCTTCTAGCCGGGGTTTTGAAGCTGCAGAGGAAGCCATCCTCAGTGCTGGAATGGCGACAGCACAGAGTCCCCATGCGGGGCTGTGGCTCCCATCACCCTTCGCCGCCTCTCTGCCCCAGCTGCCAAAAGACTCTTCCCCGACTCCCAAAGACTTGGCAGCAGGCAGCTGGTCCGACCGGCCTCTTCTCCGCTTCCAGCGACTTCTAGACGGGGTTTGGAAGCCGCAGAGGAAGCCAGCCTCAGTGCTGGGATGGCAGCGGCACAGACTCCTCAAGGACCTGGTGCTCACCAGTTTCGCCCACATCGTGATCCTGGGTTACCGCTCGGTCGGTGAGTGGCGCTCTGCCTGGTCGGAGGGGGGGATGTCTGCTGAGTGGGCACCAAGTGGCAAGAGGTGCTGGGCGGCTGCTCTCTTGCAAACAGGTTCCCAAAGAGCCGGGCACAGAGACGTGACGAAGCAAACACGGCCTTGGGCAAACAGCAGCAGCGCAACACAGCAGCAACCATGAGCATCCCCAAAATAATAAGACCCCCGATAATAGGGCCAAGCCCTTATTTCGGGATTCAAAAGAAAATAAGACCCTGTCTTATTTTCGGGGAAACACGGTAGTACATTTGACAATACTTGGTATGCAATTAAACCCAGTATATTTCACATTTTGAAATAATAAAGAAGCAGCAAAACTTCTTTATTTCACTTCAAGAATCACTCAGAACTACTGAATACCTATTAAAAACAGGAATGACTTTGAAAACATAGCATTTTCAAAACCACTATTTACATAATTTAGAGGAAAAGGCATTTATTCAAAAAACTAAATCACAAACTCAAATTTGCATTTATACATCAGTGAAGACATTGATTCATCCATACAATTCAAAATATCTCCCTGCAGAATCATGCCAAGCAGCAGAAAGTTAAGTAATTTATCCAAATTTATTCCAGAAAGAAATTAGAGACAAAGCTAGTATAACTTGTAACCATTAATATTTCATGTTTTTATAAAATGATTATGATTTATTACCTTACATTCACAAGACCAATTATTTCTTTTGATACATAACGTAAAGTAAAAGCATTTAAGCCAAACGTAATTAGCCGGAATAGCACCTGCAAAAAGAAACGTGAAATTAATCAAACATTAGCTTTCAAACTGTAAGACTTCAACATTTGTTTGTTTGTTAGATTTCTTTTGTTCAGAATTTCATTTTAACACTATGATCTTATTTCCACTAAATAACAGTAAACCCTACAATTCAATTTGTCATCACTCAACAGACATGTAGGATTATTTCCTTGTTCTAATAGGAAGTTGGATACTCCAAAAATGCTGCCTATAAACTTTTACTACAAACTCAGTAATAACTCTACAGATACATAATTTATTGATTATACATGTAAGAGCATCAAGCCCTTATAAGGGATTAAGTCTAAATTAACGTTCTCACCTTTAGATACAATCACACTCATAGCATATGAAACTCTTGGAATGAGTATTAATTTGTAATATTACTAACATTCATCACAAAATAAAATCATTAACTTGCATTACCAAATAAATCTTACCGCATGGAAAAGAGCAAACCTGCTATATTGTAGGATGTAGAACAGAATGGTAAAATCTGAGCATAATGAAAAGCTTTTCCAAAAAGATATCAGCATTATTGTTAGCTTTTATATAAGGTTCTATCTAAATATGGCAATAGAAAATAATTACACACAATATTGTAATTACAGTTTGGCTGTAATGATTCTTAATTTACTACCATACAGTTACTGAACTGCTGTTTGTTTAGATTAGAGCCTAACCTAATCTGTAGGGCAATGCTTGAAGTAACCTTTTCAGAATGATCCTCCATCGGTTGTTTAAAGCTGAATCTGTCTCTATTACTTATATCAAAGAATTCTTATACATAACAAGATTCCTTTTTTCCTGGGTTAGCCCTACAGATTACAGGCAACAGCTGTTTTAGGCAAATGCAAGTGCCTTTGCTCAATTTAATTATTCCAGACATGGAAGCTCAACAATGTAGCTATAGGACTATTACAACTGCGAGTCATGCACAAAAGTGAAAAGCCTCTGAAATAATCTCAATGGAGGAATGCCTGATGAAGAGAATAAACTTGCAGAGATGACAAAACAACTTGCTTAATTAAACTAAAATTAATAACTACATTTATCAGTGACTGGAAACCCTTTATGTGTATGTGTGTGTATGCACATATCCATCCATACATTATATACACACATGCATGCACTCACACATATACCTACACACACACACCCCATATATTTTGGAGTATAAGACGCTCCAGACTATAAGACGCACCTATCTTTTGGGGGGAGGAAAAAAGAAAAAAAATCTGCCTCTGCCTCCCAGCAATTTGCCTCCTTGCAGCAAACAGCAAACAGCCTGCTTTAGTTTCATTTTCAGCACAGCCTGATTAGCACAAGAAAAAAAAATCTGCCTCTGTCTCTGCCTCCCAGCAATTTGCCTCCTTGCAGCAAACAGCCTGCTTTAGTTTCATTTTCAGCCCAGCCTGATTAGCACAAGAAAAAAAAAATCTGCCTCACAGCAATTTGCATGCTTGCAGCAGAGGCCCGCGTGGCAATAGGCAATGGCAATTCCTGCAGCCTGAAACAGCTAAGGTTCGGGAAGCCGATCCAACGGACAATCAGGCTGTGCTGAAGCTGAAATGGGCTGTTTGCTGTTTGCTGCAAGGAGGTAAATTGCTGGGAGGCAGAGGCCAAAGGGTGGGGGCCAGCTGGTGGGCGGGGCTACATTTGGTGTATAATACACACCCAAATTTTCACCCACTTTGGGGGGGGAAGTGTGTCTTATACTCCAAAAAATATGATATATACCTACACATACATACCTACCTACACACACCTATATTGCGAACTATCCTAAAAATATGAGTTCCAGGTGTAGCTATAAAAGAAGAAACAGACATCGCAATATCCGGAACTTTAAAACAGATTATCCACTTAGCTTTTGTTAGCTTCTGCTAACATCGTCAGAGTGTAAAAACTACAATTGAAGATATATTTATGCAGCATTGCATATTTTAAAGTTCCGGAGATCGCGATGTCTGTGTCTTCTTTTACACACCTATATTCATATACTCTATATTTCTTGACATTATATGAATCACTAGGAAGAATATCAAGGAAAATGTTTAGCTTTTGAATGCATCAGTGGTGGGTTTCAAAAAATTTTACTACCAGTTCTGTGGTTCTGTTCTGTGTGGCTTGGTGGGCATGGCACTGATTGGTGGACGTGGCTTGGTGGGCATGGCAGGGGAAGGATACTGTAAAATCTCCATTCTCACCCCACTCCAGGGGAAGGTTACTGCAAAATCCCCATTTCCTCCCGATCAGCTGGGACTCGGGAGGCAGAGAATAGGTGGGGCAGGGCCAATCAGAATTCTCCGAACTACTCAAAATTTCCACTACCGATTCTCCAGAACTGGTTATAACCTGCTGAAACTCACCTCTGGAATGCATGTATCACTAAATCCACTTATGGTACCTATCTCATTGTCAATTGTGAATAAAGTGGTAACATGAGACTATAAGAATTTTATTCAATTCTCTGAAATGAGAACCATCTGACGCTTTGCATTGAATTGAAGATTAAATAAATTACTTATTCAATGTGAGAAATAAAGAAAACAAGAACATAAGAAGAAATATAACATGACAGGAATAGCTGTAAATCCAATAGTATCAATAGTAAGTTATCTATTAAAAGAATGTGATGCTGATAAGCAAATTTCTCTTAGGCATACATTCTTTGTTAGGCTTAGACCTTACATATTCTGCCATTTGCCATAAATGTTTTTATGGTATACAAATAACTATACAACAAATTTCAACAAATAGTTTTTATGAAGTACTTTCTCAGATTAAATGCAAGTGATTTCTGGGAAATGTCAAATATGCAAATGACGAAGTGATAAGGGAAAACAAAGCATCTTAGAGGACAGTATCAAGATTCAGGAGAATGATGACAAACTGAATAACAAGCAGAAACCTGCAAAATGAAATTCAATAGAAAAACAATGCAGAACAGCTGAACAGGAAGGGGAAAAAAACCTTAAAGCCACAAATATAGTGTATGCAGGGGAGACTATATAGGCCAGCAGTATAGACAAAAAGGACTTAGTGTCTTGAAGAATCGTTTTAGGAATGACACTGAAAACTAGAATGTATCCAGAGGAGATCCAAAGGCATTTTTTTCAAAAGGCAACTGGACTTTCTTGGCGGGAGTTTCTTTGCCAATGTTTTGCTTTTCATCCAAGAAGCTTCTTCAGTTCTGACTGACTGTTGGTGAAAGACTGTTGTAAGATACTCAGAGCCAATGGATAGGAGATGGACGGCAAACAATTTTCATAAATAAATAAATATTTCCTCACAGAGAGTTCAGTTGCCTTTTGGAAAAAGCACTTCTGAGACAACCTTGGCCTGAATGATTGAGAATCTCAATAGACATATGATGTCTACGATGTGAAGGGGATCTATGTGAAGGGCATCATATCCTGGAACAGTGGTGGAGTGCTGAATATGTTTATCCTGGAGAAAAGAAGATTCTGGGAAGGCATAATAGCTATTTTCAAGTCTCTCAAGGGCTGTCCCATAGAAGATAGGGCAGTAGGTTTAGATTACAAAGTAAGTTTCAGCTGACCATCAAGAAAATCTCTTAAAGAGCTATTCAACAATGGAACAGGCTGCCCTATGAGGTGGTGGACTCTCCTTCCCTGGCAATGTTTAAACAGAGGCTGGACAGCCATCTATCTGGGATGCTGGAGCAATGGATTCCTGCAGTGGAGTGCAGATTGCAATAGGAAAAAAAATCATTTCCAACATTTGGATTGTTACGATTCACCAACGGGAAAGACTCCGGTCACATATGCTATGATCAATTAATTTTTGAAACTCCACTGATTTCTGCCTATTGGAAGTCACTTTGCCTCCCGGCTTCTCCAGCAACTTATTGACGTGTCTGGACACGTTCGGCTTCTGTCCACTTAAACGGGAGCTTGAGATTCACCACCTCTCCTGGAAAGAGCCAGTTCGAGAAAGGAGAAGCCGGCAGTCGGGAGAAGAGGCGGAAAGAGAGCGAAAGGCTGCTGCTTTTGCGCGCCCTCTGATCTCCATCCCCGCCTTCCCATCTTCTGAGGCGGGTACCTGCAAGAGGGCGTTGGAGGAAGCCAGTTTGGCGGTATCCCTGAGCGCGTCCTGGGAGCCCATTTTCCCCGGCACCGTCCCGCCATCCTTCGCGCCCATGCAAAACGATTCTCCGTGCGCTCCTTCCGACCTTTTTTTCCCTTCCCTCGCTGGCTGCCTTGTCAGAGGGAGAAGCAGCCCGTGGCTCCTCCCCGTCGCGCTCGGATCCCGTCAGCCGCAGAGGGAGGACGAGAAGGCGGCGGCTTCGAGGCTTGTTCCACCTAATCCGCTGCCGATACAGTTGCGCCGTTTACACCTGCAGATTCACACGTGGCAAAACCGGGAATCCGGCTGAGAAGGCTCGTGCGGCGGGAAGGCGTCCCTTCTCTGAACTGGCCGGTTGTCTTGGGCAGGTGTGTTTTGGGGCGTTGTTTGCCGCGGTAAGGCGGAGGAGACGCTGGTTTCCCTAGTCCTTATTCCCCAGTCCTATCTCGTATTTGGAATAAAGATCAGGATTTGGGATGGGTTGCCTCTCCACTGAGTTTGCGACCACTGCCTGCTACTGATGTTTTTCTAGTTGGACGGGTTTCTTTGAGATGTCCTATACGCCTAAACGTGGCAAAGGTTAATCTTATGCATGGTGCGCCCATACAGTTTAAACGGAAACAGATTTTATTACACTAGTATTCATGCACATATAAACATGCAGAATAACAGAGTTGGAAGGGACCTTGGAGGTCTTCTAGTCCAACCCCCTGTGCAAACAGGAGACCCATGCCGTTGCAGACAAGTGGCTGTCCAGTGTTTTCTTAAAAGCCTCCAGTGATGAAGCAACCACCATTTCTGAAGGCAAGCTGTTCCACTGGTTAACTGTCCTCACTGTTATTTATTTATTTATTTATTTATTCGTCAGATTTATATGCCGCCCTTCTCCCGTAGGACTCGGGGCGGCTCACAACAATAAAACAACCCGACAATAGATAAAAATTAAATAATATTAAAAACCAATTTAAAATCCCCAAATCCCCAAGTTAAAATCCACAGCAGATCAGGGAAGTTCCTGAAAGAGCCATATCTTTAGGTCGGCGTGGAAGGCGCAGAGGTCGGGGGCTGTCCGGAGCCCGGTGGGCAGCCTATTCCAGAGGGTCGGTGCGACCACAGAGAACGTCCTTATCCTGGGGACCGCCAGCCGACACTGTCTGGCCGAGGGGACCCGGAGGAGAGCAGTTCTATGTGAACGCACTGGGCGGTGGGAGGCCAGTAGGAGGTGATCCTGCAAATACCCCGGGCCCATGCCATGAAGGGCTTTATAGGTGAGTACCAGCACCTTGAAGCGGATCTGGAGGACCACTGGCAACCAGTGCAGCTCACGCAATAGTGGTGTTATATGGGAGTAGCGGGATGCACCCATAGCTACTCGCGCGGCCGCATTCTGGACCAGTTGGAGCCTCCGGGTGCACCCCAAGGGCAGCACCCAAGGGTTAGAACATTTCTCCTTAGTTCTTGGTTGCTTTTCTCCTTGATTAGTTTCCACCAAGGAAATCAGGAATATAAGGAAACATGCATCCCTTTCCACAGATTACTCTGTATCTCCTATCTTTTGAATAAGACATTCCTTGTTGGTGGAAAATGCCTTGGCAGCTTTGATTTAATGCAGGCCTCTCTCAGCTGTAGTGATGCAGGACACAGATTTTGGCTCAAAACTTCAATAGCAAAATCCTGACACATAACAATTCTCTGTCCTTCAGAGCTTTTGGTGCTACAAAAAAATATACCCATGGAATTTGAGAGGTTTCATTTGAGGAAGATTGTCCGAGGAATGCAATCTTCTTTTTTGAACAATTTTATGTTCTTCTGTCTAGGAACAGCTCCACAGGAAAACAATTTTTGGGTCCCTCCAGATCAACTGTGTGTATCACTCCAAGGCATTCAGATCAGTCCAGTACTAAATTAATCTCACTACCTATAGTTATTATGAACGTGAATTAAAAAGTGAATCTTTCATCACTGAACCATTTTCCCTTTGAATTTGATAACTGATACAACACTGTCAACTGCATAGGAAAAAAAGGAAGATTGAGTGAATCCTTATCACATGCCAAGCCAAAACTAAATAAATCATAAATCATACACAGTGCATGAACTGCATCTGCCTTCTATCTCAGTGTGCCTGGGTTGTCTCTTTCAATGGTTAGCCTCCCTGTGTAAAGGGAGAAGCTGATAATGAAAAGTGGAATAGAAAACTATTATTTAATTTCTAATGCATATGCCCATTACACTAAGCCTTGATTTCTAATTTTTGAACAAATGCTCCAAGTTTGTTCACCTCACAAATAAGCTTCCAGCCTTAATTATTAAACCATTCACACAAATGGGCTGGAACTAAACTAACAGTGAACACTGATTAACCCTTGATTGTGACCTCATGTACTATGCAGTCATAACTATAAACTGTTTTTTTCTATAGCTAAATCATAAAATGGTTTAGAATAGAATAGAATAGAATAACAGAGTTGGAAGGGACCTTGGAGGTCTTCTAGTCCAACCCCCTGCTTAGGCAGGAAATCCTACACCATTTCAGACAAATGGTTATCCAATATCTTCTTTAAAACTTCCAGTGTTGGAGCATTCACAACTTCTGGAGGCAAGTTGTTCCACTGATTAATTGTTCTAACTGTCAGGAAATTTCTCCTTAGTTCTAAGTTGCTTCCCTCCTTGATTAGTTTCCGCCCATTGCTTCTTGTCCTACCCTCAGGTGCTTTGGAAAATAGCTTGACTCCCTTTTCTTTGTGGAAGCCCCTGAGATATTGAAACACTGCTATCATGTCTTCCCTAGTCCTTCTTTTCATTAAACTAGACATACCCAGTTCCTGCAACCATTCTTCATATGTTTTAGCCTCCACTCCCTTAATCATCTGATTTGGTTTAGCTTGTGTAAACCCAGACACTGATTTATGAACCATAATTCATGGTTTGGTATGTTGTGAAAAATATGTGTGGTCCATTCAATAAATTATGGTTAAATAGTGGCTTAGAATACTGTGTGACCCTCAACTAAAAGTGATTGACATTGGCATCAGCAAAAAATGATGAAACATGTACTGTATTGCGGTATCACATTGCAAGCCCCAGCTTTTTGTAATTGTGTCCCAGTATCAAGTGAAGGGACATAAATCTCATGGTTTGGGTTGTGATTGTGAGCTGTACATCAGAATCTGGCCTTAAAATTAAAAGGTTAAAGAAAATAGGTGGGAATTCCATAGAACTCTCTGTAGAGGTTTCGGGTGAAGGGTGTTCTGCCTATGTAAGAATCAGTTGTACTCACAACTGAAATCCAGTGAGAATTCCTTGCCACTTAATCATTCCAACAAACTGGAATTGGCAATGGGGGAATACCACACCCTGTTAAAAGTCATGGCCGGCTATGTGGAGGAGCACACATTGCAGGAATATATAATGCTACATTTATTGACAAAATGACAACAATAACAAATATGGAAGAAGAAAACTGGTCAATATGAACTATAATATGCAAGATTCAAATTTGAACTAAAGCAGAAATCACGAAAAAAAACCATGCAAACACTTCTACATTTTCTTCTAGATCAATATGTCAAATCATATTGTTTGACTAATTGTCAAATCAATTATTCATATTGAAATAATTGCCATAAGATGTTTTTTATTTCAAAACCAACTTTATCTTAACTTTTATTTGTCAAATATACACAAGTATCTGTAAATAATAGCTTTTATAAAGCTAAATAAATAATGCAGTTATTTGGGGGAGGAGTTTTGGGATTAAAATAATCTTTACAGAATATTATTTTACAGAGCATTAAAGAATTTTTTGTTATCTTCTTCTAATGTGATCTGCTAATAGTTATAATTGCACAATTAAATACATCCTTTGAACCCATCTTCAGACCAAAACTTGCCTGCATTGTATAGCAAAAGCACTTGTCTTTCAATACATGTGTTTACATAAATTGCCTACAATCAGTAAACCCAAATGGATCTGGATCAATTCCTTCAGATAAATACAATTTACCAAACACGTTTTATTCATATATAGTATTATTGAAAATATCCAATGATACAACACTCCAAAAACACATTTTCATTACTGGGTGCAATCATATTTTAGTATTTCAAATGTTTATATAATTTTCTGCTATCTTCTCTAAAATGAATAGTATTTATTTCTTCAGAGTTTTCTTATAATGCTAGCTAAAATGCATATATCAAACTCTCATTCAATAGGCACTTGTTTGCCTATTTTTCTTTAGATGAGCTATGTAATCGCATTACATCCGTTACTTTTTAACACTTGAATACTAATACAAAAGATTATAATAATTCAGGAGATAGACTAGGGTTAGTTCAACAATAAAAGAATTTTGTTCAATAACATGTATCTATGTATTAGTTCCACTAGATGGCAGACCTTCCTTAGAGCAACAAGTAGATAATTTATGGGAGTGAGGATTTTATTTTAGCAACATCTTTGCTTCCGGGTAATTTTTTTCAATCAATTTTTACCATGTCATTGATGGAGACCTGCAATTCTAAACACAGTTATCTGTGAAGATGTTCCAACTCAGGGAGACCTGCTTATGAAGAAAATATGTGTGAGAATATACTATCAGGGCAGGCTTAACTGGGTTATTGGAGAGGGAGGGGGGTGTTGTTGTGGATATACATAACCATATCAGCAGTTGGGGGTCAAAGGAATTAGTTTAAGCAACAAATGTAAGTTAACTTGTTGGTTAAATCTTTCCTTCCTGCAGCTGAAAGAGAGAAAAAGGCATAGGGAGGAGCCATATAAATAGGATTTCTCTGAGCATTTTTATCTCCTTTAAACTTTTGATTTCTTCCTCTCAACCTGGACAGAAAGGATGTTCCTCCCACTCCCATTTGACTGCAATAAAATTGATCCCAACTGCAATATTGCAGAAATTTTCTTTTCCAGGTCCATGAATAAAAAATGGTAAAGCCAGGATATGGTAGCCTCCTTTGCAACAAATGGGAAGACTTCAGAATGGCATTTCTCCAATATATAGGTGATTGTGCAATGCAAGGGAAGAGGGTTAAAACGTGAACCCCAGGAGTGGGTTCTACTTATCTTTACTACCGGTTCACAATGGGGCCGTGCGCGTACCCTTGCTTCACTCGCGCACACGCTCTTCTGCGCATGCGCAAAAGCTTCCTGATGACATCCGGCTCAGTGGGTGGAGCCTCCTGCCGGTTTTACTACCGGTTCTTGTGAACCAGTCCAAACTGTGGGCAACCCACCACTGGTGAACCCTCTTGAGTTGCCCACAAGCATGCATTCCTCAAATTTTAAACATGTCAACAGG